TACAAAACCAAAAGTCACTACTAATTAATGTCAACAAGACATTGAGCACCATATGAATTCCCAAAACTAGCCAATTTAATGTGGATTTTGGGCTTTTGGCCAAGCACCCCTCCTCCCCTAACCCCAATTGTCTAACTTGCGCTTACCTTTTCTACTGGCGGCAGCGGCGGCGGCTCTTCCAGAGTCAACACCAGCCTCAGGGGACTCATCCACCACTACCTGCTGCTCCTGTAAAACCAGACCTCTGTTCCTAGACAACTTCCTTATCGGTGTACTTGTCTCTCTTTCGGTCTCGCCTTCAGCATTCCTCTGTGGTGCTTCACGGGCAGTTTGGCCGTCTTCGTTCCTGTGAGGCATTAGTTCCTCCCCTTCCACAACAGAAGCCATCATTTGCTGTATTGTTGTGAGGAAGTAACAATGAGGAAATAAGAATTCCTCAAACTTTCAAAACAAACAGCCAGAAAACATATGCTTTGCAAAAGTAAAAATGTGCAAATAAGACATTTTAGCCTTTTATCAGAAAAGGATTGTTGTTTTGAAATTCAATGCATCTCTTTCTACTTATCTACAAAAGGAAACCAAATTAAAGTCAAAATTAACAAGTTTGTATAGTTTGAATATTGGGATCTCCAAGACAACACTTTGAGAAATAATATTGTACTTCAAATTAATCTAATGATACTAAATGTATATCTAATGCAAATTTCGGTCAATGTTTGCGATGTTCAACCAAAAAAAAATCAAACAATGCAAAATATTTAGGAACAGAGGGAGACAGACAAGGGATAAAACGCTTTTGCCATGTTTATTTTTTAAATATAGATTACCAAACACTTTTTCATTAAAAAAACAAACATTTCTAGGTAATACTTAATACCCAGACTCTTGAACTTAAATAAGGCTGGATTAGTGAATCGGATTGATTTCTCAATCGTTTGTACTTTAAAAAGTGAATTATTTGAAGTACCTTCCAATCTTTAAAGTCAAATCTGAAAACAAAATGACTATAGGAAACATTTCCAGAGAGAACTGCATCAGCAGAAGGGGCATTCTTTGGTGCTGCAAAAAAGATTAACACAGCGTCAGAAGATGAACACTCTGAGTAAGAGAATTAAAATGATGTGAATTTGGAGGAACATACAAACAGTGTGAACACCCTTCTCATCAACTCTTATTTCAGCCCTTCCATCTTTAGCCAGAAAAGATAGAGCAAACAGATTTTCAATTGTTTGTGCAAATGATCTTCTATTCAGCAGCAATACTTCAAGTTTGACCTTCTTGTGTTTCCTTAAGATTTGGAACATTGTTGCCATATTTTTGTCTGTGTCAGTACTTTTTTCTGATGCATCTGGAAGCTACAAAAGGAAACCAAATAAAAGTGTGATCATTTCACATGATATCATCCCAATGCTAAGGTTGGTAGCTTGATTCACCTTATTGGCTTAATCTACTTATTATGTTTATCAAAAGAATATGAATTACATTCTCAAAAATATATAGATATGCATTACAAGTAGCCTTTGACTACTTATTTGGCTAAAAAATGAATGTTACCAAACACTTAAGTTTTGAGAAAATCAGCAGATTAAGCCATTTTGGTCGAATAACACTTAGCAAACAGGTTCTTGGAAAAGAACAATGGTTTAATGATGTTATTCCAATTCCAATTCTAAATAAAGAGGTATGAGTTGCAACTTCAAGGACAATCATGGATTTATGATGCATATTATGGGTGTGATTTACGATAGTTGAATTACAGCTGACCAACATGAGGGCTCAAGTAACATTTCATATATTGATAGCCAAAAATTAAACATGGCACCATGACAGAAAACCCTCTTTACCTTCTCCGGTCGTTCATTTCCTGTAGGCTTTACACGTTTTCTTTGTACTGCAACCTTTCTTAGCTTAACTTCAGTTGACATAGGCCCAATCCTGAAAAAAATTACATTTCTCTTAAATAAATCCATGGCATTTCTAAAATAAGAAATGATGGCAAAGGCCTATAAATACTAACATCGTACAACATCCCGGGGCACTCTTGAACACATCAGACACAGCATGGCCAACTTCCTTCCAGCGAATAGAATTTCGACTCTCATCAGATCTAGATCTATGACCCATTTGATCACTAAACTGTGTAAGCAAACAAGTAACAAAATCCAAAGGGGTCACTCCTTCATTTCCATGTGCCTTAACAGAGGTCACTAAACTGTTTGTGATATCCATCAGTGTTTCAGCATCTGCAACTTGTTCTCTGGGGTTTTGTACTGAAAATAAGCCAATAAAGATCAGCATTATGATATTACCGCACTCAATTTTCTCTTGGAAGTTAACTTGAAGAGTATAATAAAAATCCAGGTGCAATTGGAGTTTGCAAATAAACAAAACCACCAGTCATTACGAGGTGAAATATGAATGATACCTTTTTCATGTAACTTTTCAACTTCTTCAAATATTGTACTAAATGTATCCGAATCAAACTTCAATAGATCATCTTTCACATCTGCAGCATACAGAACAGTATGTTTACTACTAAATATAATACCACCTTAAAAGGCAGTGCAACAATTAAGCAACCAAAGAAATGGATAATGAATCCACAGTCTCATATAATGAGAGCATTCTGAAAAAAAGAATCTTACAGATAAACCCTTGTCCAAGATTATTTCACGCAAAAAGTCAAGAAGTTCCGAGTTATAGCACATACTATTCGTAGTATACAGAAGGAAGTACTATATTTTTGAAAAAATATAGTACTCTCTTTGTCCAAAACTTATTATTCACACAGTCAAACTTAATTTACTCTGTTGGCTTATTCTTGTTGCTCATTTGATGAAATAATATAGTCATCGTCTCTAATTTTGTAGATCTTTTGATTTATTCCATAGTTTTAAAAATATATAATTTTTATTTCTTAATTCTTCATCATCTTTAATATTAAATGATTTGAAAATAACTTCAACCAAACATTATAACGCATAACGGGAATATAATTTCAGTGACAGAACTCAGCTTGCAACAACAGTAAATACTTTTATGCAATCTAACTAACTGATTCATGTTTTTCTATATTAAAGCAAAATTAAGTAGAGCCTTGCATCAAGAACCAGCAGAGTACTTGTGAAAGAATGCAAGATATAAGCAGAGAGAAACGAGGAAATTACCACAAATCCGGGTCTTAACATTGAGATATCGAGATCTAAGAACTCTGCGGTCGAGAGCGTCTTCTTCCCCAGAAGTGTTATGGCTGTCGCCATTGCTACCCTCTGCATCTCCTCGCCGGCTTCCACTCCGAGAACTCTCTGCTTCGCGCTTCACAGCTCGCACCATAGTCGTTGACAGAGAACAGGGGAAGAACAATTACAGCCAAATTAGGATCGAGGAATTCGGGCCGCACATACATATATGTGGTAAAGAAGGTTTGGATATGGAAATGGCAGGATTCAATGGAGAATTTTTAAAAGAGGGGGAAGATGGGGGGAAAAGCCCTAGAATTTGAAAGGCTCCTGAAATGGCGAAACTCAATTTCGTTGGCGCTAATAATATCTCTCCCTTAACCAACCCTAAATAATTTTTTGGGTTTCAGTGTTTGAGAAGTTTTTGGTTTCCTTCTTAGAGAAGTTTGAGTAGTGGCTTGCATTGCACACTCTCCACTCTCCACTAACAAATTTTTACTCTTAGACGTTTATTTTTTTGAAAAAAAAAGCTATGGTCATTTTCATTGACACATTTCACTATTTAGAAATTATGAAAATTTTTGTTTATTTGTCATTCTATTGATTATTTAATAAAATAAAATATTTTTATTATCTCTTGTTTTGTAGAACTTTTGACGTAGTTTTTAAATAGGTAAGTTTTTTTTTATTTTTATACCAAAAAGATTGACACGCTTCACTATTCAGAAATTACGAGAGCTTTTGTTTAGTTTTACGTTTTATTGATTATTTAATAAAATAAAATATTTTTATCACCTCTTGTTTTGTAGAACTTTTGACGTAGTTTTTAAATATGTAAGTTTTATTTTTTTATTTCAATGTCAATTTTTAAATAAAATGAATTGAAAAAATTCAAAAATTACTTTGTTTGGCGTAATGTTGCAATCTTTTTGGATGGAGGATGTATTATTACAGTCACATAGTGATAATAATTATATGTAAGATGCACAGATATTTATTAGAGTAAATTTCTAAAACGATCTTTTCTAGTAATAAGGTACTTTTCCAAATTAATACTCAATAAGAAATAATTACCAACATGGTCTTTTGTTATTGAGATGTATTCTCTAAATAATCTTTTGTAAAAAATGATTATTAAATGACAGTTAAACGGATGGTATTTTTGTATTTTCCATTATCTAGACTATGAATAAGTCATCAAAATGGTCCTTTCAAATAAAGTGGGTGGCTACTTACTGCCTACTATAGTAACTCCCCACCCCCAGTAGGCTCATGTACTCCATTTTGGGAAGAGTGGTTCTTTGGTGCATTTTGGGTGCATATCGTTCTTGTCAACTACCTTTTCGAATAGATTTTTTTTATTTAACAAAAATCTTATTTAAGTAGTAAGGAACGCTTACTTGCCGTTGGAAAAACATTTACTTATAAATTATCAGTTTGGAAAAAAATACTTAATTATAAATGAGATTTTCGAGAGCGAACTTTGAGTTCAAAATATCTTTTATTTGACTGACATTTAATAGACATTTTTGGCAGATGATCATATAAGGAATATATTTCAATTACAATAGACCATATTGGTAATTATTGCTTATTGATAACTAATTTGGGAAAACATCTTATTAGAAAGGGCCATTTTGAAAATTCAGTCTAATTTTTATTTTTGGGTGTGTGATACATTATACGGAGCCGTTCTACTGACATTAACATTATATGTCATGGTATGACATATCCATTCTCAGCCCTTGGATCTGATTTATTTTTAATTAACGGTCCTGATTAGCTTCCTTATCCCAGATCTGCTTAGCTTCTAGATTAACGGAGATTTTCTAAATACCCCTCCGTCACTCTTCGCCACAGGATGGATATCGGCACTGTTTATTTTTCGGCGACTCTTCCCCCATCTTAATCTGGCAACTGAATCGTCATCTCCCGACTGGTAAGTTGAAAATTTTTTGTTCATTTTTTTTGTTCATTTTTCGATTGAGTTTTAGATTGGGTTCTCCCGACTCTGTTCATTTTTTTTGTTCAAGCAATCAATTTCGATTGAGTTTTGTTATAATTTTTTGTTTTTGTATTTTTCTTGAGATATGTAATCTTAAACAGTAGTGTAAATTCCATGGCAACAAATCAACTTTTGGAATTTCGCCAATTTTTGGCAAGATTTTAAAAAATGACAAAACAATTGGTTTCACAATGACATTTGCAACAGATTTAGTTAAATTTTTGACAGATTTGGTTTCACAGCGACTTCTGGTAACATTTTTGGTAAACTTTTGCAACACAGACTTTTGTAATTTTGATTTAAGTTGGTAAAAAGTCACTGCATTTTGGTTAAAGTTGATTTTGTTTTTGTTCTTCACTGCATTTTGGTTTAAGTTGGAAAAAAGTCAGTCAGTTTTGTTCTTCACTTGGTAAAAACAAACATTTGTTCTTCACTTGGTTAAATTTTGACCGGAGCAGTCACTTTGCTGTATTTTGAAACCATGTTTTATGCTGATTCCAAATTTGTAGGTCACTGATTACATCCGTATAATGGATTTAATGTGTGTGGAGGAACCACCAACACCGTTACTAACTTCTGAGATGAGCACCTCGGATCCACTTGTTGGTTTTTGTGAGTCCTTTTCAACACCAAGAAAGTTACTACCATCCCAGGGGAACAAGTTAGAGTACCTTCTGCTTTGTAGTTGCTGGAATTTCAAAGGAGTTCTCATTATTTGTTCTTATGTATTTCATGTAATTTCAGGATTTCAATGTATTGTTAAATTTTAAGTTGCATTTAAAAAAGTTGGGTATTTTCCCTTTCATTAATGCATTTAAAAAAGTTGGGTATTTTCCCTTTCATTAATGCAGTGAAAAATCTTAGGTCTTGCAGTAAACAGAAGTACATAGCAGAGGAAGGCATTTAACTGATTTATTCTAGCAGCTTCTTGAAAATTCTTAAAAATCAGATTATTCAGTGTCAACAAGAATCTATTCATTCCTCCATTTCGTTTATGACGGAGTACTACTAAAAAGATTAAATTATGTTGTTGAATATTTTGCACATGAAAGAAAAAAATGCAGAGTAAAACCACAAGACCCTATAAAGGGGCAATGACAAGAATTAGAGCAAAAAACAGCTATATAATTCACTATAACTACTGCAAATGACATGAAAAAACACACTTATTATAGATAGAAACATTCATTGGTTACAAGGAAAAAATACCAATTTCATAATTCCATACAGATGGTGGTACTGATACATCTAACTGCATTTGTTTCAATGAACAAGATTTTGGTACAACAACAATCCCACCAAAAACAGAATACAAATATGCAAGAAAACTTCTCGTTTCTCATATTTTTTTATTCTTGACTCCAATACCACGTTCTTTGCATGTACTTCTCGTTCACGGACGGTGGCATCTATTACTTCTCTTTGTAAGTGCACAAGAAGTCATTGAAAGTCACTTGTACTCTCCCGGGTAGTCGGAGTGACTGTTTCCTTGCTACTCAAGATGGTAGTAGGTTCACATTTCTTGTGTAGCCATTCAAAGAACGAACAATCAGATACATACCCCCGTGGGCAATGTTCGCAATTTTGGGCACCCATAGAATTTGTCTCCAAATGAATTTGCTTTCCGTGAGACTCGTAGTGTTGCAGCATGTCCACAATGACAAATAGGTATTGAGCTTAATGAGTGCGCTTCAGAGGTAACCTCAATACTCATATTCTTGCCACCAATTAAGTATACCTAAAAAAGCTTCATAGAGTTCATTCAAATGCAATACGAAAAAAGAAAAACAGATATAAAATGATTAAACAAAGTCATAAAAAAAACAACTAAAATCGCAGGTGTTAAGCAAAGCCAGAGAGCTGATAAAATGTAACAACTAAAATCGCAGGTGTTGTGAAAAATCACCAAACAATCAGAAAAAAAAATAAAAATAAAACAAATCAGAAAAAAGCCAAAACAATTCGCATCTCAAATGTTCATTGTAAGCACTAGGGTTTTCTGGAATTAAGATCTAAACAAAAAAAAAAACAAAAAAGTAAAATCTAAACCAATCACCAAAAAACGTGAATTTGAAGGGGGGAAACTAAAATCTACTAGTATTTGATGAAGAAGAGGCTGAGGAATTTGGGGGAGAAATTAGAAATTACCAGTTTTTAGAGTGGACCGACCTTCAATTGAAGGTGACGAAACTCTGACAGTGAGCCGTCGTCTTCGTCGAGATAGAGAGAGGCTTGCGTCGCGATGGTGAGTGGATTTCGTATCTTTGTTTACCCGTGAGCCGTCGTCGACATCGAGAGATGGTAGCCTAGAGAGAGACAGTGGAATGGATCGCCATAGAGTTGCAAGGTTAATAAATCTAAAATAAAAAAAAATGCATCTCAACCATTTATTTAAATCATTTTTTAATCCAAGGGCTGAGATTAGAGTTGTCATAGCATGACATTAATTACCTTATGTCAGCCGAACCTAGCCGTACATTATATAAGCAACTTGGTACAAACTTGATGTAATTAATTAAATCACTCTTTCTATTTCTTGTTCAGAAATATGGAATAATTTATCTATTCTGGTTTCATGAAAAAATAATGTTACTCTATATTACTTATTACGGAGTACTACATATTATTTGTTCATATTTTCTCAATTTAATAACGCAAAGTGAATTTATTTCTCTACCGGGTTTCGAATCTAAGTGAAATTCTCCACGAATCTTGAATAATATTTCATACACCGCACACTCGGGTGGATGTTGGCCACACTAGAGGTGTAAACGAACCGAATCGAATATTGAGATATTTGAGTTTGTATTTGTTTAATTTTTTCGAATACAAATCTGAATCCGAATCTGAGACGAATTAAAAATAAGATTTGAATTTGTATTTGATTAATATTCGAATACTTAACGAATTCTAAACGAATATTTTAATAATTATACTCCATAATGTATATGATGGACTAACATAGATTTTGAATAACTTAACTTATGATACTTCTTATATTATATCTAAAAACATTAATACATTTTCATCTTACACAAATTATATTTTATAAAATATAATTAAAAATTATATGCTTTAGATTTTCGTGATACGTTAATTTGTTGAATTCCAGCTTAGTAATTTAAATACATTTTATACTATATTAGTTTATTTGACTATTGATGTTGAAACATGGTTTGTAGGTATATACATATATTCAAATATCACTCGAATCGAATATACTCCTATTTGTATTTGTATTTGTTTAATATCCAAATCAAAACTAATATTTGAATTTGAATTTATATTTGAATAATGCGAATTCGAATCATTATATTCAAATACAAATCACGAACCAAATTAAAAATATTTGATTTGTTTACATCCCTAGGCCACACTGGCTATGAGCAGGGTGGAGGTCGTCTAATATGTTATCTCTCCAATCTAATTTAAGTTGTCTGTTCATTATTTATAAAATTAAACTTTAACTAGTTTCATTATTCATTTTCGATGCTCATTTCATAAAATAATATATTCATATTATCTCTTGTTTGTAGAACTATAGATGTACCTAGTAGTTTATAAATATTTAAATTCTATTTTTAAATTTTATTTTATTTTTTATATAAAATATATTAAAAATAATTTAAATCCAACATCGTAAATGAAAAGGGATAATTTATTGGGGACCGGGGGAGTATATAGTGATACACCTTGTTTAGAAATTGGCAGACCTTTTGATAAGGTGGTTAACTATTTGTATTAAGGGCCTGTTCTTTAGGACTGTAAAAAAAGAGCTGGTTGTTGGAAGAAACTGGAAAAAACTAGAAGGAACTGGAAGAAACTAGAAAAAACTGGAAGAAACTGGAAGAAAATTGGAAGGAACTGGAAGAACTGTAAGGAACTAGAAAAAACTAAAAGGAACTAGAAGAAACTGGAAAAAACTGGAAGGAACTGGAAAAAACTGGAAGGAACTGGAAAAAACTGGAAAATCTAAAAAAAACTTTAAAAATATTTATTTTAAATTCTTGTTGTTATAAATTATTATTATTATTATTATTATTATTATTATTATCATCATCATCATCATCATCATCATCATCATCATCATCATCATCATCATCATAATCATCAACATAATCATCATCATCACGTTATCTTAGTGAATGTCTTTAAGATATAAAAAAAGTATTGTTATTTTTTAAATACAAAAAACTACTTTTACAAAAAATAATTATAATATAAAGTTAGCATAAATATAAAAATATTAAATTTTAAAAAGGCTGTGTTGTTAAATTACACCTCAATTTATTTATGCAGTATTTATTATAAATAATGTATTTGTAATTATAATTTATATATTAAAACATTTTGTTTTAAATATCATACATGTCACATAATCAAACCTATTGTTTCTTTTATGATTGACATTTTGTTTTCATTGAATTCCTATTTTTTGGAATTAAGACATAGAACTTTTTTGTTTACATTTTTTATGTTTTACTCGTTGATGTTTTCCTGTTTTATCATGTAAACTAATATACAAAAAAATGTCTTATTCATATTAAAAAGTTGAAGAAAAAAATAATAAGTGTGAATCGTAAAAATAGTGAGATGAAAAAAATAATTTATAAACTACAGTTATGAATATAACAGTTGTAATAATAATAATAATAATAATAATAATAATAATAATAATAATAATCACATTGAAATACATCATTTTTAGAGTAATTGGTTGAGGAGTAGAAAGAATTTGAAGAAAATGAAAAAAGTTGGAAGAAACTGGAAGGAACTGAAAGAAACTGGAATGAACTCGAAGAAACTGGAAAAAACTGGAAGAAACTGGAAGGAACTGGAAAAAACTGGAAGTTAAGAGTTCAAGCCCAAAAGAACATGCCCTAAGTTGTTTAAATTTGTTTGAGTTTGTTATTTTGACCAAATGAGTATAAGTTGCAAGACTTGTTGCTCTCTCCATCGGGTAATGATCATCTCAAATATATTTTTCCGACTAAAATGAATATTTCCATTACCTTTTTTGAGATTTTAAATTCTACAACTACCCTTACTTTTTTAGTTTATTACACTACACCCATCTCAATTAACACACTTCTCCTATTTTCATTCAAGTTAAAATAAACATTTACTCCATCTGTCTGACCGTCCCTAATGAAAGTCACTCTCCAAACAAGATTCCACCACTTTTAAATCATTTCAATTATAAATTGATATAGAAATAAAAAAAATTATACAAATTACACCATTTAAAAGTACATAAAAAATTTCACTCAATCCGTCCCAATTTATAGTCTATTTTGGTTTACAATATTTGGCTAAAAGTATTTTCAAATCATTTTAAATGAAAAATAGTGTATAATTAAGAAATACTAAAAATTACATGTTAAAATATTACATCAAAAGATCTACAAAACTAATGCTGACAAGACTATGCAATTTAATTTGAGATGGAGAAGTACAAATCAAGAGATACAAAAAATACTTTATTTTATCAAATTAGTAATGAAAACATACAAACAAAAAGTATCGAAAGACCATATAATAACAGTGGTATCTATTTTAGGACGAAAAGAGTACATTATTTTTTCAAATCTTCTTAAAATGTGTGTAAAAAGTCAATATGAAAGGATCACTCCCAGAAGAAGTAATAGAAATGTTTAGCAAATAACTTTACATTTTACAGATTATTACATATCTTCATGATCTAAAATTATTTTAGGACGAACTAAAAAAAACCTTTTGGGACGGATGGTATTATTTATTTACACATTTATTATATACTCCGTTTTTATTTATGTATACAATATATTTTTTGTTTGTTTGATCATTCCTAATATTTATATTCAAGGGCAAAATAGTAAAGAGCATTTCATTTTCTGCCAAAAGTTCACTCGAAATGTTACTCCTAGCCAGCCAACTCATAGAGGCAACTCACAAACACTTCATTGGTTGTTTGGCTGGTCGGACAACCAAAAGAGGTCAAAACAGCCAAAAGCTATTTCAAAAGCCAAAATCCACCTCTGTGGGTTTTAAAAAACAGAAGAAAAAAAAGGACATGTATCAGGGAACATAGCAAAAAATAACAGACAAAACATGCATGACTAAACATATGCTGAAAATGTTGTGTAAAATGTGGGACACAAATCTTGCCAATTTGACAAGATTCTTGTACCAAAATGTGCAATTGCGCAAAATTCACCTTCTCCTGGTAAATCTTGCCAATTGCACGAAAAAAATACATACAAACCTTCAAATGTACTCCGTAACTACGCACGAGTTCTCATTGAGAGTCCAAATGTGCTGGTTTCATTTTTATTAAACACGGTACGAAAAAGCAAGTTACATAATTTAACTCCCCACAAAACCTCTAGGCTCAAAGCATATATAAATGAGCTCAATTTACATGATCACATATATGCATATAATCAATTTACTTCAATTTTCATTAAAGTTAACATAAGGGGTCATACCGTCCAATGTTCTGTGACATGTCACCACCAAAACCGTGACAATTATGTGCTTCACCACACACTTGTCATGGTTTTGGCCACAAAACGTCATAAGTTGGCAAAAAACATTTTCAAATTTTAAAACAATAATCTCAATGGTGTGGGGAGGGGGAGGGGGGGCATTTTCTTTCTTTCTTTCAACGAAATCCCTAATTTCAAGAAGTTAATGGGGAATGAGCTCAAAGGAATTTGACTGTGCTGCCAAAAATAACTAAAACCGAAAACTGCTAGCTCAACTTTTCCCTCTAACAATAAAAGCTATGGAAACTTAACTGCTAAATATACATACATGATCAAAACAGGTGATTTCCTAGTTTGAATTCTGTACTATCACGCCTCAGATTCATCTCGCCTTTGAATAGCTTCTCCGTGATGTAAGACTTGTTAGCAGGATACACAGTTAACAGTTATGATCAAACAAAAACAGAGCTCGTACCTGCAATAGCCATTCCTCCAGCTGTCTGGGGGCACCTGTGTGGCCTGGGTCTCCATAACTGAGCACAACTCTAACGTTAGACTCATCAAGAAAACACACATGCCCCTACACTAACCAATGCCCGTGAATTCTGGGAAAGTTGAGCAGTCGTCTAGCCCAGATAACAAGCCGGGGATGTAAATGTGGGGCACAAAATCTATGCACTCAGCTTCCAGTTCCTCCTCGTTCGTGTTGAGCAGGGATAAGTTTTCAAAGTCGTGCCAATGTGATCCGATTTCTGCACTGAAATCATTCCCTAGTGTCTCTGTGGGGTGGAAGATTTGATCGGTAGTGGATGTACATGGATCATTGTGCTCAACTGCAATCTTTTTTGACTTTGATTTAGAAGCCTTTGCTGGATCAGAATGAGAGAATTTGTGCTTTCCTGCAGTTTGTGGTCTGGATGGTGTTTTATGCTTGGGCTCCACAGTAGGAAAAGAGAGTGATAGCCCGTCCCGGCTGCCATCAGAGCAAACATTTAGTGCATCCCTGAAGGAAAAAAGTGCACTTGTAACATTACTTCTTTAATCTTAATCAATCACACAAAAGAAAACACAAGGCTCTCAGAGTACAAAATATACAGGGGAAATGCCTTTTATTGAGTTCCCAGTTTTGGATATAAATGTGAACACTCTTCACCACACCCTCCAATGCAACATAAATGACATTTTGAATGCATTCACACAGGTTAAGAGCACAACTGTTCTTTAGACATTGGATTTCAATGCCATATTAAGAGCACAACAGTTCCTTTGACATTGCATGAAGAGAAACCCTAAAATAACGACATACCCTTTCATGGATAAAGGCACCATAACCAGTGCATTCACTTGGTAAACAAATGGAGCTGAGGGTAAATAAGGGATAAAGGAGGACTATATCTATTCCTATGCTAAAATCCAACATCATTACATTGCATAAAATTACAACCTCAAATGAGTAAATTATATTGAATCGGAGATATCAAAGAAGATAAACTAAATTTAGGCAAAACTTCTTTAAACACATGGCAAAGAAAGGCACCAGTTACATTGCTACAAATCAGCTAAAATCGTGCTTGGAATGATGAAAGTACACTTGATTCCATAGAATCGCTTAGAACTCATGGAGGCCTTATTTGGATAGATTTCATTGTCGCCTTGTTGGAAACTCCGAATTGAATTCTTAGGAATTAAATAAAATCATGTTTACAATGATGGAAATTTGCCCAACGCGTAAGAATCACTCAGAAGCCATGGGTATGGGAGGTTTGCAATGCCCTAAATTTTGGGAAAAGAGAAGCACCATAATTCCACTGATTCATGTGTCTTCTGAATCTAAGTGTCATCAATACATAACTACTGGGAAATCCGGGGCATCAGAAACCAATCCAAACAAGACTGGTGTAATGAATTTCAGGAATTGAAAAAAAAATAAGAATTCCACAATTGGAATCCCAAGAAACCCACTCAATTCCTGAAACCATTCAAAACAATTAATAATAGAAAAAGTAGGTTGCAAACTCTGAAGATCCGTACCTAAATTGATTTTGAGCTGAATGCTGAAAACATTTCAAGTGGATATCTTCAGGTGCTTGTAGTTTTGATGAAGGAGAGTCAAGACCAAGTATTTCGAGGTGTACAAGTGATGGGATAGAAATATTCCTATCAATTTTTGCTTGGTGAAGTTCAAGAGTAATATCCAACCGCTCATCTGCAGGAACATGGGTTTCATCCCTCGTTCTAGATTTAGAGAGAGCATCAGAACTATCAGTCTTTCCATCAGGGTTATTGGAAAGTGCAGCTCTTACTAACATACTACACTGTCTAAGGTTAGTTAATGCCAATTTTGCATGTGTGGGATTTTGAGAATAAGAGTGATTGGTTATTGATGTAAACATCAAAGGTCTGAAACCACTTTGTGAAGAGCAATGGCTGCGCGCATCACTTCTCCTTGACCTCCAGGCAGATGATAGAAGGGAGTAAAAATGCCTTTGAATGAGGGGTTCACGATCTGGCAGTTCCACGGCAACATCTAACAATGTTTGAAGGTTTTCCTGTACAAAAAGATAACAATAATTAATGAAATACTAGATTCTAATTAGCTGCACAAAATGGGCAAAATAAGTTCTCCACAACAGTAACACAAAAAACACTCCATCCAATAAGTTTGACTTGACTTGCTTTTTATAGAGTAATAAAGAAGAAATTGTGTGGTTTAAATTTGTTGAGAAGAGAGAAATCATATGAACTAAATAATCATTTCATGAAGAGGAAATAGAAACAAAAATCTGGGATAACCTGAATAGGAAAACATGAATAAAATTACAGGAGTGAGTAACTACACAACCTCCAAATTTAGTTTTGCATATAAGCATCATGATAAAAGAGAAAATAAGCTACCTAGTTTAACACAATGAGATAATATTAGTCTGTTTGCTTACCTCCGTTACTTTCAGAAAGCCTTTTCCGGAGCCAAAATTGTTGGCTTTATCACTATTTAAAACATCTGAAGCAGAAAAAACATATCTGTGTATGAGTTCCCTAAATCTTTCACTGCAATGAACAGGATGGCGAAACTTCCCCATGTAAACTCCACCACCAGTGATCCCATACAAGATATCACTAACCAACCTCCAGTGAGGGCCATACTCATGGACAGCCGCACACAATATAGCATCTTCTTGAGGCAACCATTTATCAGCTAAAGGGATGTAATCTTTAGACGTCCCTTTCTTTTTACACTTCTCTGGTTTTAGAATGAAAATGCGCTTTGCGGGTATCATGCTAATCGAGACTTTCCCTCCCATCTTACTCTTATTAAAAGGCTTAACTTCATGTTCTACTAAGTTCTTCTCGCGGTGTTTTAACTCAGTAGATTCTTCCTGCTGCATGCCAAGCAATGACAATTCCATGGATAAAGGAGAAACCTCTGTTGTTTTCTTGAATTTCTTTGACTTCTTCATTTGTTTAGACTCCTCACCAATGGATGCTTGTTTACGTTTTCTAGGTTGAACTGAACGTGGGGACACAATTTCCGGGGTGGAGACAACCTCTTCAGACATAAGCTCATCATCTGTAGACATGAATTCAATAGGTGACTCTTCTTTCATATCTTTTCTTTCAGAACATAAGCCTCCTTTCTTCAAAGATTTGAACTTTGTTTTCTTTGATTTCTTCTTTGGCTTGGGCTTAAGAGAAGCTGCAACATTATTGCTGCCAAACAAATAGAATACACTTGTGTGACAAACTATGAGGCAAATAATAGTGCCTTTGGCATACCCCAAAAAGCATTTAATCTTGAATGAACTTACCCAATAGAATTTTCATACTCAGCTAGCTCCTTCTCTCTAGCTTTAGATTCCAATTCTTCCCTCAACTATTGAATATCAAACACAAAATTGGGTGACGACGGAGAAATAATTAAATTTAGACTCAAATCTAATACAATGCCTCTCTCCTTGAACTTCTCAAATCAAAGGGAAGATATAGGAGCAGTTTTATGATGAATACCTGAATTTGAGCCAATGTCTCCACATGCTGTCTGTAAGCCTCAGTTGCAAAATCAGCATCCCATTCTGATGTTAATAAGAAAATCAATCAGTATATGTTCTTTAGAAGAAGCAGATGCACAACATCAAAATATTAATATCGTGGATATTAAACTTCTCACTGGCAAATAGTTAGTTCCCATCAAGAATTTTTAGAATATGCCAGCTAGAGATCACAGAATATACAAGGTCAAAATAACAAAGAAAAGAATTATACAGGGCTTACTTTCATAAACTAAAGGTTCATCATCATCGTCCATATCGGCTTCCATATCCTCCTTTAGCTTTTCAATGTGATCAAGTTCCCATTCGGTTTCCTCAAAATTATCTTGCAACTCCACTGCTGTCTTGTCTATGATAGGGGCCCATAACTCTAGAAAACGCACAGCATACCTATCAATGGGACGTAGTTGACTCTCAAAGGACAAAATTGCCTGGCCCCCACCTGCAGCTGCAGCAGCCTCAGCCATCTGTTTTACATCTTCCAGCACATCAGAATCTTCATCTTTACCTAGTAAAGAGATCATATGATCCTCAGTTGGACCACTCCCGTTTGGGACATCAGCTTTTTCTTTATTATCATCAGTATAATGTTCTTCAGCCTTCATCTCCTCTTCATTAGCAAATTCATCATCCTCCATCTTCGCAATTGATTCTTCAGTAAATTCCTGATTGTCAAGGTCTTCTTCCTGTTCAACTTTCTTCAGTGCCATATAATCTGCTTCATCTTCAGCATTCTTCAAAGCAGCCTCTACGTCAGCATTAGAGAGAGGAACCTCTGCAGCTTCAGAGCTCTTCTCATTCTGAGAATTTTTCAATGGAAATGTTTTATGACCCGAAAACAATTCCAGGGGATCCAATTTCTTTAAAAACTCAGTGTTGTAGCCACCACTTTGTATGACCAAATCATCAAGAGCACGCTTCTGATTTGCCTTTTTAAGAATATTCTCTTCAATGGTGCTCTCACTGATTAACCGATAAATATGTACTTCACGAGTTTGTCCTATCCGGTGGCAACGATCCTGAGCCTGGCTGTCCATAGCTGGATTCCAGTCACTATCATAAAATATAACTGTATCTGCACCAACCAAATTAATGCCAACACCTCCGCTGCGGGTTGATAGGATGAAAAGGAAAATTTTGGGGTTTGTGTTGAAGCGCTGCATTAATGTTTGTCTCTCTTCTGGCGGTGTAGAACCATCCAGGCGCATATAAGTGTAACCATATAAATTAATAAAAGTTTCTAAAACATCAAGCATCTTTGTCATTTGGGTAAAAATTAATGCACGGTGGCCTTCTGATTTCAACCGCCTCAGCAAAACTGAAAGCTCTTGCAACTTACCACAGTCAAATTGTATTAGCCGCCTATCAGGAAAGTAGAGCTGTCTTCTGACAATTGCAGGACGAAAAGGGGTTAGAAGGGATGAAAGCAATTCGGAACACCTATCCTTAAATGTTGGATGAAAGAACACAGATGTTCCAATTTTGCTGCACCAGCAAACAGGTGCTGGAGCACGCGCAGCAGGGATTGTGAACACAAAACTTTCAATCTGATCAACCATTTGTTCAAATCTTGAAACCGGTGACAGGACAATATCAGCAAGATTAGAGGAGTAAATAAAAGGATTGTTTTTTTGATTGTGAATATCATATACTGGATATTTTACAGTGACTATCTCCCGTAAACCTGTGGAGTAAACGGGTCTCCTTTTGCTCTTCAAAGAATTCCACCATGCTAGGGATGCTGCATGCTCCTTCACTTCATTTAGCCTGTCCAACATTAGTTCCCTTTGGATCTCTTCAAAAATGCTCGACCCATGCAACTTTCTCTCGTGGTTGAATCTAGATTCTGTTTCTTCTAGATTAGCGAGACTATCAAACATGCAGGGTGGAGTAGCAATAGCTTGAATGTCATCGCTCTCCCAAGAAGTCATCGAGTAGTCCAGATGTGTAAATACAAACCCCAAACCAATAAGGTCAACAGCAGAAAAGGGTCCGGGCATAAGCATTGAGCAGATGGAAGAACTCAAACAGACATCAATGCCATTCATATCAAATGAGCTTACAATAGGGCGTCCTTCAAACAGATCAGGATGATTGCATACTTTACGAAGTTGCATAATAACACTAATCATTCCGAAAAAGTTTGAGCTAGCTAAGGTTGCTTGTGTCTCAGCACTAGCAATGAAGTCTTCATACAAACTGCGCTGTCTCTTTGAGAGTCTGCAATAGATGACATGTTCATATTTTAGGGGGAGCTGCTTCTCCACATCTCTTTTCAAACGTCTGAGTAGGAAAGGGCGGAGGACATTATGCAGACGATCAACAACTTCTTTGTTTACCTTTTCTTGCCCCTCAACAATGCCAGATATGGGGTTGCAAAACCAATCCTTGAATTCTTGATGAGACTGGAAAACATGAGGCATCAAAAAATGCATCAGAGACCACAGCTCCATAAGATCATTCTGTAACGGTGTACCAGTCAAAAGAATACGCCGTTTTGAGTTGAAGTTAAGAAGGGTCTGCCACCTCTGTGATTTCCAATTCTTAATAAGATGAGCTTCATCCAAAATTAAGTATTTCCATTTTTTCCGCTTGAAAACTTTGGAGTCTTGTATTACAAGTCTGTAAGTTGTAATGCAAACATGGAAAGAATTTGGTTTCAACCATCCTTGCCTCTTCATCTTCCGGTCTTTAGCACTACCAAAATATGTCAGTATTTTAAATGCAGGACACCATTTGAGAAATTCGGTTTCCCAGTTGAGCATGACACTAGTTGGGACAACAATAAGATGAGGGCCCCATATTCCCTTTTCACAGGCAAGGTGAGCAAGCAGAGCAATGGTCATGATTGTCTTCCCCAGTCCCATTTCATCTGCCAAGATCCCATTTAATTTCTTCTCATACATTGTCACAAGCCAGTCCAACCCAATGTGTTGGTACTCACGTAGAGAATATTTCAGAAGGAAAGGGAACTTAGTGCGAACTTTTGTAGTTGAGAACGTATTACCCGTTGGTTGAGCCGATCTAGCTGCTGCTGCAGCATCAGCCAGCCGGTTCTCACTTTCCATTTCCTTGTCGGAATTAAACACAGCATCACCTTCTTTTTTGTCCGTCTGAGGGCATGCAGTTGGTTTTACATCTCTTGATTCAACCTCTAGTAAATTCTGATTGGATTTTTTGTGCATTGATGAATCCGATAACTCAGAAGCTGATGACAATGCAGATTCAGAGTCATTGCATGTAATATCACTCTCATTGTCCTAAGAAGAGAAATGCAACAGCAATAAGATAATCAAACCCCATTTTAGCTATAAAATTCATGCACAAGAAACATTGGGCATACCTTTTTATACCTTGCGAGTAGTTCATCTATAGGAATCTCACCCTCCATTTGCAAAAGTGCAATCTGAAAATTAACATTCATACACTCAATGAGGTGTCAACAGCTTGGCAATAAAGAGAGTATAGCCTACCAGAGATCCAAAATAGAAGTTCAATACTTTAAGAGGCAAGACACCACTTACTTCATTTTCACTATCGTTTGGCTCTGCCTTTGCTAGTTCCTCCTCCTCTAACAGAGTTGTCTCATCATCCTGAAGATATTTGGGTTATAATCATATAATCCAAATTTCACTAAAGCCAAATCTACAAAGGCTTCGATATTGAAAACAAGGAGAATGATAATGGTAACCACAAGAGAAACAGAAGCTCACTGTGTTTTAAAAAACAGGAGTTTTAAAGAAAATTTCTTACCACATAACATTCACTATCTTCGAAAGCAGTAACAAAATCACCATCATCATCAAGACCGTCCTGCATTAGTTGGAAAAAGAATTCCAGTTGGAAAAAGAATTCCAGAAAGCATCAGCGACAAGATGGAAAAATATATAAATAAATACACACAATTTATAGAAAGATTTGCATTTTTTTCCTGGGGTTTACCAACAGGACATCAATGATCAAACAATCAAGAAACAAGACATTGTAAACATCTATAACATGAACTTTGTTTGTTATTGTGTGGGGGTGCAGGGTGGGAGTTGAACCAATGCAAGGCATCATAATGATACAACAACAACAAACAACAACAACAACATTACCCCAGAGCCTCAACGGCTCCCACCCATTGCGGGGTAAGGGGGGTCGGATGTACGCAGTTTGAGCCCTATGTTTAAAACATAGAGCGGCTGTTTCCAAATGACCCATGATGAGCGTTGAAAGTTGCAATGACCAACTGCTACTTCACAATTGCAAGAAGCGCACACAGTTTAGAGAGTCAATTTGCTTTATTCCATCATATCCCAAAGCCAAAAAATAGTGAATCTTCGGCTCCACAGGGGAATGGAATTAGGCATCATAATGATACATAAAAAGAAAATGTATAGTTGTCTACAGATGCATACAGCTCCACATTTAGACAATTTGATTCAAGTGAGGGTGCAAAACAAAATTTTAGAAGGGGGTTTATTCAAGGACTGAATGTAGGACCTTTTGGTGAATGGGAATACACCCGCCCAGCCATCCACAGCCCTAAAGTCAAAATAGTATTGTTTTGTCTAAACAAGAGAGAGACCTGTCATAATGATTAAGGCATTCCTAGTCATGAAATTTTAGAAATGTGCATGCATGTGAACACGCAGCACCGATCAAGGAAGACTTTGGCATGACTTTCAAGATCACTTTAAAAGCAGTGGTTATTAACTTATTATAAGGGTGTTGCTAAATCCACTTCTCTTTTTGCTAAATCAACCCTATTTGTGACAAATGTCCAATTTTATCCTTAAGTTAGTCCACATGTTGTCTTAACTTGTGTTTACATTTAAGGATAAATTTGTTTATTTTTTACAAAAGGTGTGGATTTAGCAAAACGAAGAGTGGATTTAGCAACACCCTTATTATAAATGCCATCAATTAGCTTAACTTGTCACAGGATGCTGAGATGACTGGAAGTAATATATTGTAAAGCGGCCCCTTATGCATTATTCATGCATAGTGGTTATGCATTAAGACCAGTGATGTCAAACATGCAGTGAAAACAAGTCCTTTAACAAATCTTGGCTTACACATTTTGAAACTCCTAAAAGACAAAAACACAGAATATCATAGGATTCTAGAAATGTGATTTAATCGCAAACTCGGCCCAATATTAAATAAGCCAATTAAATCAATAAAAATTGCATTTCGGTCTCCTAAAATACCTGCTCATCTTTAATTTCATCCAAAATATGCACTGTGTTCGAACCCTGGAGTTTCCTTCGTGTGTTGATATATTTGTTAGGCTCCAATTCTGAAAAACAGTTATCCAAAGTTGACAAAACACCATTGCTTTCAGCCTGTAAGAGCCAAGAGGAAATATTAACTTGAGAAATGAGTATGCTTTGAATCTCAAGGCAGTTACCACAAACACATACAACTTACACAACCACGACCAGGAGTTGGAGAAGAGATGTTTCTTTTTATTTCGGAGGGGGATGCAAAATCCCTACCTTTGTCTGAACAACAAGTTGCACACACATTAGCTGACGCTTAAGTACAGCATTAAAAAGATAAATGTATCACCTAAATGCTCACCATCCCCACCATTATCTTCCTGATGGTTAATTGCCTCCGACAGATTGTCTTTCTTATCTGGGCTATTTCCTCTGCAGGCTAAAAACATTTCACAATGGTTATAATTGATCGAAAGAAGGAATGCTTCATTGACAAATCAGTTGATAGATAAAACCCCAGAATCAACACTTTGCACTCAGATACAACATGTTCGAGGAAAAAGGTAGTTTCTCAAATAAGGGGTCCAAGAGAGGACAACTTTGATCTTGTCTAGAATGCACGTGGTTAATATGGTATACCTTGCTCCTTCATGTAACGTTTAAGCAGCTCTTCAATAGGTAGATCCATTTCCTTTTGCAGGGCATCGAGTTCCTCTTCTCTTTCTTCCCTTGTTATAAGAGCTTCATCTTCCTCAATTGTCTGCTCATCATCTTCCTAAATCAGTGTCAGCATTCACCGCGTGGGGAAATATTATATGATATTAGTAAATTTGCTGCAAGGATTACTAAACATGTTAAAAGAACTGATTGTCAGAAATAAATTGTGATTAAGCAACTTACTGAGTCATCCTCGGACATCAAATCATAGTCATCATCTATATCAGGGACAACAGATTGAGACCCTGTCACAATTTACATGCAGTGAGAGACGTGAAAGAGAGCAACCCAAGGGTAAGAAAACAAAATAACATAAATAAACTATTCATCAACTTGCCAAAATTTCCTTGGGTTCTTCTGTTTTCATCATCTTGATTTCCTTCTCTGCATTGTCTTTGCAAGTATTCTTGACGGGAGGATTTGTGAATATCTTTGCACTGTGTTGGTGAGCTAACAAGGTTTTCTGCCAGCATTGTTGAGTACCTATGATAATAACCACCATCGGAAATCATAATAGAGAAAAACTCATCATGTTGGTCTTGATACATAAAACCAGATAAGTTTACAGTCTACACCAAGACAAAATTACTGAAAGAATTGTACCTCTCAGTTTGCCCAAGAAGAAACTCAAGCTGTTTATCAAGTGTTCTCTTCTTCTTCTCATCTAGCTCTAACTGATGCTTGTAAAGAACCTGAAAGAATAAAGCATAGGTGAGATTGATTTCAAAGGTAAGATGAGGCTGTAAATTTGTTGTGAGGGATCCCTCAGAAGTGTAGTTACCAGCTTCTCAATTTTCATCCAGAATTTTTTTACATCCTTGGCTATATTTAGAGCCATTTTCTTCAAGCGTTGTTCTCCTTCCTGATGGATTTATAAGAACAAATACACAAGAGTTTACAGTGCAACTAGAATAGAAGCAACCTCGCCTCAGTTATCAAGGCATCATATCTTCTCAAGAAAATGGATTCATACCTTCACTCTTTTTTCTCCCCTTGATGCCTGATCCGCGCATTTGCTTGCTCTTATTGCAACCTTCTTTGCCTGAGTTAATTTCCATTTTCTCTCAGACTCAAAGTCCTGTCATAATAAAAAAAAAAGTAAGCATATCTTTGTTCATAGTATCAAATTATTGCTCCTGCTGAAGGAAGGAAAGTGTCTATTACCTTTGACAGCCATACCATCTCCTCAAGAACATGATCCCAGTGCGTTTTAGGGCGTGGAGGTTCTTTTGGAGGTTCAAGGGCCTATTAATATGAATAATAAACAACAGACATTTATCAAAAGATAATAGTTTCTTAAACTTCAATGCAATATATCTATTCTCATTCCAACACTCTTCTTCTTTTCCTTTTGGTTTTGTATCGATCCCAACTTCCCCTAAAGGTCACCATATGTTCTATGAAAGTGACATTGAATCTATATAATAAACAGAACCAGGTTTTAAGCCTAATTTACACTTCATCAACCACTTATTAATATTTCAAAGAAGCAAATTATATTTTAATACTACGTTTCACAAAGCCTTCTACTAGCTGTGTGTATGGTTGATAGCTACACAAGAAATTGGTGTATAACAACCATTAAAAGAATAGTACATGCATAAGAATGACATATTCTTCAGCAGAATTTAAAATCAAGATCTTGATACACAGACACACACACACACCTTTTGTCGCCTCGAACGTGTCTCATTGTCAGGTTTACTCTTTGATCCTTTCGAAGACATGACAATAAGCTATCTATGACATGGCTACAAAATCTGCATAAATAGAAGGGAAATAAAGAACTGCATTACTGATGCATGAACATGTGATGCAAAACAATTTTCTAAATCATAAAAACATGAAAATTTTTAAGAAGGGTATTAGAAAAAATCTATCAAAAGTGGTAGACATTAAAATGACACTCAGACATGAGAAGAAACTTGGAAAGAAAATTCAAAAAGGCATATCATTGCATGTACGCTAATGAGAAACAAAGATCAACTGTACGAGGATGTGAATGAACAAAAACAAAACTTGTAGCACAGACAAAGCCATAAGTAACAGCCTCTCAAAATTCAAAAAGTGATGGATAAAAAAATGGGTCTGATAGATTGCCCCTCACAATCAGAAGTTAAGAGCCATTTATAAGAAAGATGAAAAGGGCATGTAGCATCCTCCATAATCCATTTTCGGTAAGCCATACATTATTTCAATCCTTCAATTACCCTCCCAAATGGTTTGAGACCTTTGGGAATCTACTTCACAACAAAGCCCATTAAATCATTGGTACACTTTTACAGTCTCCTCTTCCTGAAATCCAACTTCAAGGTCATTCCTACAGTTTCCAAGAAACTTGGTTCATCTGATACCATCCGGGCAGATCAAGTGGATTGCCCTTGCAATTAAATACAAGTAGCTAGCATCAAATGCAAACGTGTCACCATTTCCAATGCCTCTTTTCTACCTTTCCGATTACTCACTACCGTGTGGATGCAAATGCAACCCATCATTACTTTTATTTAGTCTCAATTTACGTTATGGCCCCCCTGAGAATAACTATGAGCTCATCGATAGTGTTAAGATTTCCCAAATGGAATCATTGCTCTGTTTTCCCTATGCCTTAGTAAGCTCAATTAAGATCCCTTGATACTCAGAAGATTTAACCTTCCAAGAAATAAGCTTTCCACACTCTTTTACTGAGTCCTATAAGTTCCATGTTCCTTGAGCAGCTCAAAAGCTGTGAATGATGTTCTGATCACTACCGATGCAAGAATATCACTTCAACTAGCTCGCAATAAACAAAAAAAACACGTTTAACTAGAATTTACATGGTTTTAAGCTGAGATTCGCCTCCACGCGATCTACGCAGCACGGCCGCGCCAAACCTCGGGAGAAATAGCGCGGCGGAGACAGGGACAATCGGACACGTGTAGGACACTCCACGTGGAGTGCTGTTGAGGGGACACGAGGTCAAAATGCCTTAGAAACGGCCGGGAGAAGCCGAAAATCGACGGGGATACGCACGGAGAAGGGAGTTTGCGGTGAGTTTGCTGGGTTTTAGTGCTGCCGGAGAGTGGAGCGGGGGACGATGGAGGCGACGGAGATGAGAAGCTCCGGAAAAAGACAATGGGGTTAAACTCTCAGATGTTTAGATCTGTTGGGGCTTTGGGGCGTAGGGTTCCTTTTCTTTTTTCTTTTTTACTTTCGGAAATATTGTTTTCATTTATTTGGCTTTTATCTTTCATTTGATACTTGAAACAAAAAATTTGATTAAAAAAATTCATTAAATAAAAAAATAAATTAGATTAATTTATTTTCCAAAAACCTAAAAAAAGATATTACAATCTGCACCATAAAAAAATACCAACACATCAATGTTATTTTAAAAAAATGTACTCCGTATTTAATTAACGGTTGAAATTATTTAATCTTGTGAGTTAATCTCAAAAATGAAAATTAAACTTTATCCTTAAATACTCCGTTACTTTTTCAAAACAAAAAAAGCTAAACCATGAAATATGTGCTTGATGACAACATCTTCATTCCTTAAAAAAATATTAATGTTTATTGAAAGCGTCATTGAATATTTTTTTTAAAAAAAAATTCTAGCTAGAGTAACAAATACTCGGTATCTTGGACACAAACTTAGTATTTCGGGACTTTTTCAAGCGAATAAAAAGATTTTATATAATTTTGAAACAAAAAGTTAAATATACAAATGGTATATTTATGTAGTTTGTGTCTAATATTTATTGACTTGTGATAAACAACTTTTAAGTTATAAACTGCTTATAAATCAAAAAAAAATTGACAATATAATGACTTAAATGATAGAAAAGTCATTTATAAATATTCATAAATGGTGAGAACGATTTTGTAAATAATCTGGTCAAAATGGGAAAACGAAAAAATTGGGTTAAAAATAAGTAGTTAAAACCTACTTATTTTCTGGTTTATAAGTAGCAACTTATAAGTCAGTTTATAAGCATGCAGAAACATGTCATCAGCTAACTTTTAAATTAAAAAATTTATAAGCAATTTTGACCAGCTTATAAGCACAAAGAAGCACCCACTAAATTCTACAGAGTATTATAAATATAAGTTCACACTTACTCCATATCAAAAGAAATTTCTTACGTTCTTTTTTTGGCCGTCCTAAATAAATTTGTTGGTCTACATTAATTTCTTTATTTCCAAATAAATTTTAATTAAATTATTTTTTACTTCTTCCGTGTTATAATATTTTTCAAAAATGAAAAAAACATATCACAAAAAAGAGTGTTTTCGATACTCTACTGGTACTATTTTCTAATTATTTCGTATAATTTATTTATCCTACACATTATATCCTACATCATTATGTAGTACGGAGTATATAATGAAAAATAAATTAAAAAATAATTTTAAAATTACACATTTTTAAAACATGTTTTTTTTGTTTTTGAATTTTTGCTTTGGGATGAGGAAGTTTTTTTTTCTTTCTAAAATCCATGAAATCCTTACTGATAACGCAAAATAAGCCAAAAATCAGAGCCAGATTTCCATCACGAAATCTCCGTTCCACCGATTTGGAATTCGAATTGCTATACAAAAACCCTAGTTCATACTTCATACCCACTTATCATCCGGCTGGCTACGATCAATCTGATTTCAGTTTCAATTTCTCTGTGAATTTTCGTCTTCTCCGTCGAAATATGAAAGCTTCGATCAAGTTCCGCGAGGATCAGAAGCCATTGCTGAGAGCCAAGGTCCCTATCAGCATCCTGAGCTTCCCTTTCCAATCGGGAATCGCCGCCGGCGATTCCAAGGAACTCTCTCTCAGCCTCCGCACTTTCTTCGACGCCGGCCCCTCTCTCAGGTTCTCTTACCGCCCCAATGATTCGCAGAAGCCGTTTAGCTTTGTTCTGAAAACCGGCATCGGCCACTTCGGGTCTCCGGATTCGAGCCCGTTCACAATGAGCGCCGAGTTCAATCTGATCGGGAATCAAAACCCTAGTTTCTTCGTTCACTTCAAGCCTCGGTTTGGGGATTTCTGCGTCAATAAGTCACACTCCTCTTCGGATCTCGCGAAGAGTTTCAGCTCCGATTCCAAATTGAACGGCGCCGCCGGCGACCTTTTGGGGACGAAGGTATTAGGGGATCACGCCAATTTCTTCGACCCAAAATTTAGGGTTCCCACCCCTGAATCTGCTGTGAATGGGGTGGTTGAGAAGCTATTCTCCGGCGCAACCGTGAGCGCGAGGACTTCACTTCCATTGAAAAGCCGGGCAGTTGTGAGCTTCTGTTGGGGACTGAGGTTTCCATTGGAGTCCAGGGAGGACGACGGTGTCCTAGTGGGGAAGAAGACAGATCATATGGCCAACATATCTTTCAGGAATCTCCCATTGCTCGTGATGAACAAAATCTGCATCGAGCACGTGGCTGCCAAGGGCAACTCAAAGAAGGGTCCTGCAGGGAATGCAGATGTTGGAGAAGAACCCGGTTTGAAATTGCAGAGACAGCTTGAACTTATCCAAGCAGAGATTGGGCTTCTGAGGAATGCTCAGAATGACTTCAGAGCAGAAATAGTGGGCTCCGAAAGGAAAGGATCCAAATTTCAACTCGGTGGCCGAGGGAACCAACCAGAGAAGAAACAATCCGATGCGAGTGGGTTGAAGGAGAATACCTCAGATGATTTGAATGGGAAGTTGAAGAAGGCCATACAAGCCAGCAATGGGAAATAGAAGGGTTTTGGCTTTTGTTCAATCCATTCTTCAATTTGCTGCCATTAGTGAGTTTGTTATAGCTTTTAGGCACAATTCTTGCTTCCTTTTATATCTTAAAAGTATTTCTTTTCGCTTACATTTGGAGTGTATTTACTCTTCCATGACTTGTCTTAGCGGCCTTGAAGCGAAATAAAATTATTTTTCAAAGGAAAAAAAAATACGAAGTGTAGAGCTCAACACAAATTCGCATATCATTTGACTTTAGTTTTTAGCTTTAACATTCTGAGAATGTTATCTAACTGTAACTTTAATGTTTTCAAAGTTAATCTGTTTCATTTAAAAACAAGGCCAGTGTGGCTCAAAGTGGTGAAGAACTCACTTTTGGACGACTTCTCAAGTGGAATTTTAGATTCTTTTATCTTCCCCTAGAGGCCATATATACTTAAAATGGACAACAAGCAAGGCTTCCTGCAAATTAGAAAGTGTTAATGTGGTTGCTACTTTCTTGTTATAGTGTATAATTCAATAAATTTGGTACAAAATTCACTAACAGTGCAACTTAAAAGGAGTTAAATGATATACTCCCTCTCTTACAAAAAAAACAAAAAAAAACTTTATTTTTCGACTTTTTTGGTCAGATTTTTACCCACTTTAACGATTCTATATGAAGGACTAATACGACTATAATCTTAAAAATGAAAACGAATCTCACACCAATTTCAATACTCCTTATCAATTTTTACACGACATGTCAACTTTGATTGTTTAATTGTTTTCATTTAAAACTGAGCGTATGATTGAAATGTAGCAACATATTTCGTATAATTTACCTTTTTAAAATTCTTAGACAATTCGACATTGTTTCATGATTCATTTTATAAATCAAAATCAATGCAACAAAAATGTTCTAAAAAGTGTTAAATCAGTCTCCATCTTTAAAAAAAAAAAGATGAATCAAATTTTAAACTAGTTTGATCAATAGAATGAAATGAAATGTCTTTAGAGTATGATTGTTATTTTTATATCAAGGTTCCCAAAAGTTAAAATGGGCACTGGCTTGGGCCAAATACTCTGTATTGAGTATGCTATGACTTTTGACAAAATGGTTAACTCCGAATTATACTCTGTGCAAAATAAAGTTCCAATTTGGATTTATAATATTTGATTGACATTATTTTCTAATTTAATTTATTTTTAATATTGGAAAAAAATTAAAAAAAAATAAGAGTGAAATTTTTCATTTTTAAACACTACCAAAATTCTACAAAGCAAGAAACGAGTAAAAAAAAGTGTATAAAAAATATAGTGAGTATTTCTCTTTGCAAGTGCGGGCTTATGATTAATAAACAATTTTTAATTTATAAGTCGTTTATGAGTTAAAATATTTGTGTAGATAAACTGACTTAAATGATATACAAGTCATTTGAGGATATTCCCACAAGGGAGAAATACTTTTGTAAGTAACCCAATTAAAACGGAAAAACGGAAAAGCTAGCCTAAAAATAAGTAGGTAAAACATACTTATTTTTTCTAGTTTATTAGTCAACTTATAAACACAAAGAAATACATCATCAACTAACTTATAACTTATAAGTTAAAAACAGTTTATAAACGCAGAAAAACACCCACATAATTTAGATTTTAGTGAACGATAACCTTCTTTTGATGGAGTATTCATTAATCAAGAACTTCTAACATTATTATACCCGGAGTAGATGATCATGATACTTCTGAAAAGAATCCACTGCTCATGACTTAAGTCCACACAACATGCCTATCCATAATAGACCATACTACAGAAAATAAAACCAATTTGCAGCTAAAAACTTATTATGGCCATCAAAACTGTCAAATGGAAATCAAGGAGAAGCAGCAGCAGCTTGTTGTTTAGCAGTCTCATAGCTCTGGTCCTTTGGGATGTCAAGACCCTTAAAGACTGGGCTGTCGACGCCAACTCCCATAGCATTAAGGCCATTATCAACATAAACAACGGACCCTGTTATGGCTGAAGCCAGCGGCGATGCCAGGAAAGCCGCTACGTTCCCCACTTCCTCTGTGACACCAAAGAGACATTATTCATTGTTTGTTTTTTTTAGAAATCGAGAAAGAGCAAGAGAAAGCAAGTCCTCTTGGTCGAATGGATGAAGGACCAACTTAGACTCTGGGGTCAGTCCCCCCAAGGAAGCATGGGAAGGGAGTTGAAAAAAGGGGGATAGTTTGGGGTATAAAGAATCAAAGGTTTGGGTGGGGTTTGTGATCACCAAGGTGAATGTGCCTCGGCTTCAGAGTTGTAGCAGGCTATTATTCGGGTTGTACTTTCTTAAAAAAATAAAAAAAAATGTAGAACGGGTAATTAATAAAAAAATGCAGACAAGGAGTAATTGGGGCTGTGGGGGGCTTTGCTTA